CCTCGGTGTTGCTCCCGCGCCTCGCTCAGCCAGTGAGCGGGAACCGGTCTGTATGTGGGATCCGAACCCTCGGGCGGGAGCGCCGCCGCACTTCCCAAGCGGCGCACTATCCAGTGCGCCACCGGGCCAGCCCTTAGTGGGAACTCTCTACAGGGTCCCATGGTGACCAGGGTGTCACATGGCAAGAGTGGCCTGAGCAAAAGAGCTAACCTCATTTGCTTTTTTTTTTTTTTACTCAATATAGAATGTAGTTGATTTTCATGGCCTTTTACCAATTCCTCCCTTTCCCCCTCCCACTCCCCACCACCTCCATCAACATCATATCTGTTCACTTATTTTAACAAGTTCAAGGAATTATTGTGATTATTGTGTCTTTTTTTTACCCCATTTATTTGTTTGTATATTTATTTATTTATCTTTATAGCTCCCACATATAAGTGAGAGCAAGCAGTATTTCTCTTTCTGTGCCTGGCTTATTTCACTTAACATAATTTTCTCTAAGTTCACCCATGTTGCTGCAAACAGCAGTATTTCATTCTTTTTTACAGCAGAGTAGTTTTCCATAGAGTAGATATACCACATTTTCCTTATCCACTCATCCAATGATGAGCATTTAGGCTGGTTCCAACTCTTGGCTATGGTAAATAGCACTGTAATAAATATGGGAATACACGTATCCCTTCAACATGATGACTTCCATTCCTCTGGGTATATACCCAGCGGTGGGATAGCTGGGTCTTATGGCAGATCTATCTGTAATTGTTTAAGGAACGTCCATAGCATTTTCCATTACGGTTGCACTATTCTGCAGTCCCACCAACAGTGTAGGACTGTTCCCTTTTCTCCGCATCCTTGTCAGCATTTATTATTCTCAGTCTGTTGGATGTTAGCCAACCTAACTGGACTGAGATGGTATCTCAAAGTGGTTTTGATTTGCATTTCCTGAATGCTGAGTGATGTTGAGCATTTTTTCATGTGTCTGTTGGCCATTCGTATATGTTCCTTCAAGAAATGCCTATTTACCTCCTTTGCCCATTTTTTAATTGGGTTACTTGCTTTTTTGCTGTTAAGCTGTTTGAGTTCCTTGTATATTCTGGATATTAATCCTTTGTTAGGTACATATTTTGCAAATATATTCTCCCACTCTGTTGGTTATCTTTTCACTCTGTTGTTTCTTTTGCTGTGTAAAAGCTTTTTAGTTCGATATAATCCTATTTGTTTATTTTTCCTTTGGTTGCCTATACTTTACAGGCCAATATTTTTGAAAAATATAGATGCAAAAATCCTCAATAAAATATTGGCTAATAGACTACAGCAACACATACATAAAATTATACACCATGATCAAGTGGGATTCATCCCAGGGATGTAAGGATGGTTCAACATATGCAAGTCAATAAGTGTGATACACCACATCAACAAAATCAAAGACATAAACCATATGATCATCTCTATTGGTGCTGAAAAAGCATTTGACAAAATTCATCATCTGTTCATGAAAGAGACTCTCAATAAATTAGGTATAGAAGGAAAATATCTCAACACAATTAAAGCCATATATGGCAAACCCACTGCCAATATTATCCTGAATGGGGAAAAGTTGAAAGCTTTTCCCTTAAGAACAGGAACTAGACAAGGATGCCCACTCTCACCACTCCTATTCAACACAGTGTTGGAAGTACTAGCCAGAGCAATCAGGGAAGAGAAGGAAATAAAGGGCATCCAGACTGGAAAAGATGAAGTCAAACTGTCCCTGTTTGCAGATGATATGATCCTATATATAGAACAGCCTAAAGACTATACAAAAAAACTCTTAAGAGTTGATAAATGATCTCAGCAAAGTTGCAGGATACAAAAATCAACATGCAGTAATCAGCATTTTAATACTCCAACAATGAACTAACAGAAAAAGAAATCAAGATAGCTAGCCCATTTATAATAGTCACCAAAAAAATAAAATACCTAGTAATAAAGTTAACCAAGGATATGAAAAATCTCTACAACAAAAACTACAAATCAACCTTGAGAGAAATTAAAGAGGACACAATAGGATGAAAAGATATCCCATGCCCTTAGAATGGAAGAATTAACATTATGAAAATGTCCATACTACCCAAAGTGATCTACAGAGTCAACACAATCTCTATCAAAATATCAATGACATTCTTCACAGAAATAGAAAAAATAATTCTAACATTCATGTGGAATAACAAAAGACCACGAATAGCCAAAGCAATCCTGAGTTTAAAAAAAAAAAAAAAAAGCCAGAGGCATAACACTACCTGACTTTATACTACAAAGCGATAGTAACCGAAACAGCATGGTACTGGCATGAAAACACATGAACCAATGAAACAGAATAGCAAACCCAGAAATCAACCCGTACACCTACAGCCATCTGATCTTTGACAAAGGCACCAAGAACAAGCACTAGGGAAGAGACTACAATAAATGGTGCTGGAAAAATTGGACATCCATATGCAGAAGAATGAAACTAGACCTGTACCTCTTGCCATATATCAAAATCAACTCAAAATGGATTAAATAATTAAATATATACTCTGAAACAATAAAACTCCTAAAAGAAAACATAGGGGAAACACTTTAGGAAGTAGGATTGGGCATAGACTTTATGAATACAACCCCCAAAACACTTTTAAAAGTATTTTTACACTTTATAGGTTCCTGTGAACTGTATTTTCCCCAAACATGAACACAATATTTGATCTGTTCATTTATTTTACTTTATAAGGAATTGATAGAAAAATAAATGTATGTATAACTAAAAAGTGGCTATCTTACATATGATAGCCCAGAATCTAGTGACTGCATAGGTTTTCTGGCTATTTCAACTATACATAAAAAGAATTACAAAGAAGACATACATTTATGATTTATGATATATTTATTTAAGGCATGTTAATTACAGTCTATTTTTTAAAGTTAGTTGTTTTTTGAAATCTTCATTTTTTAAAAATTCAGATAATGCCGAGGCTCAACCTTTTAATAAGAATGTTGGTTTATTAGGTTTGGCCATCTCTTCTTTATTCACCTTAAAGAGTAAACATAAAACAATGAGAAATGTATATCTATTTTAAAAATATAAATACTTATAGTGATAATTTGAATCATTTGGCCCTCAAAAAAGTTAACAAATCAAGTTCAGCTTTAATTGTAGGTACATGTAATTATGCCCAAGGCAATGTTTTACTCTGCTTTTTGCTGTAGGTTATACTTTTGTGGCTGGAAAAAGTGTTCTTCAATAGCACTGACTAGTTCATTCAGTTCCTTTTTCAGCTGCTCAGGATCACTGGAAAATAAGGTTAAAAATTCCAGATAAGGAATTATTCAAAAGCACATTTTAAATGCTCCCCAAATTAACAAAGTAACATTGAAATTTAACCTTAAGAGGAGGACTAAACCAGAAAAAATAGAACTCCAGTGACTTAAACATGGGAACACATCTGTTGACAAAAAACCCCATGAGACAATATGCATGCTTTTCCCCAAAGGTTTTTCCAAGGTCTCCTCTATAAACAAAACTATCCCTTGCTCTTCTCATAAGAATTTTTAAGAAATGCAATTTTTGGCTTAGAGTTCCTAAAAGATCTACAATGTCTGTACCTAACAGTGTAGAGAAAACTTTCATGGTGCTAGTTGGCATTAAATCCTGCTGAACTTTACAAATAACATCTCTGTTAAGTCCTCAATCACCCTGGATAATGAATGTTCCTGATGATGTCTGCCCTCAAACTACTGGAAGCTAAGGTGCAGCCTTGTCTATAAGGCCATCTTAGAATTGACAGAGATGGGGAGCCTCCAGGTGGGTCTGCATAGTCAAACACCAGAAAATCAGACCCCCAAGTTTTACGAGGATACTTCAGAAAGCTCATGGAAAAATTCCTATTATCTTTTAATTTTATTTTCCCACGAACTTTTTGAAGTACCCTTGTATCTTTGTTAGTCTGCCTCCAGGACAAGAGTCACAACTAAAGTATAAACAAGAATCTACGGAGATAGATCCCTCTAAGAAAATCAAGTTCTCAAGGATGTGGAAAACATTTATATGCAAATAACTGGAAGGTAAAAAATAGATAAAACTGACTTGCAGTTAAACACATTTCCAGCAGCTAGTATGATTTACTGTAAGTACTTAAAACCAAAAAGCTGAATTTAAAACACTAAATCCTTTATACTTTCCATTACTTTGTACTCGATCATATTTAAGACATGCAAAGTTTATTTTAATGGAAATGGCAATCCCTGTAATTAGTTAAGAACATTTTTACATTGCGATAGCTAAACAGTACAACTAAAGCAATCCATTCTATTACAGACATTAATTCTGGTTCTACTACTTACTAGCTATGTGCCCTTGGGCAAGTGGCTTAGCATCTCTAAGGCTCAGATTCCTCATTTGTAAAATTGGGATAAAGACTTTACCTTCTCAAGAGAGTTGTTGTACAGACTGAGATAAATTATATAAAGCAATTAGTACAGAGCCTGGCCTAAAGACCTCAATAAATCATTATAATTATTTTTATTCCAATTGGCAACATATAAATTAGTTACTCTTCATAAATACATATGAATTATACCAGTCTTGTTTTCCTTGTCCATAAATGTGCTTTGAAGAAAATAACAGTTCTCAGGAAGACACGCAAGCTAAAGATTATTTTTAAAAAACACTTCAAACTCCATGAATTTACTAATTACTAACTTATTTGTTATTCCAATTTGGTTTTTAACCATGACATGTATTTATATTATGATTCATTAATATATTGATAAAATGTTTCTGACACTGCATTCCTTATGTGTGAAAAAAAAATCAGTGCTGTATATGATTTAGTGGTGCGATACTTCCTAAAACCAAAGTTTTGACTTAGTATTCTCCATCCTGATTTTTTTGGGGGGGGCAGCTGGCCGATAGGGGATCCAAACCCTTGACCTTGGTGTTATAACACCACACTAACCAACTGAGCTAATCCTGGCCAGCCCTCTCCATTTAAATTGCTAAATGTTCCATTTCTTATATAAAAGTGAGAATATTTCATAACATTTTATAATACAACAGGATCCATCCAACAATCATTTAAACCAGGATTAGGAATCCCTGTTTCTGAAGAGTCTAAATCTAGGTGGATCTCTTTATAGAAATGTATAGCAAAGTATCATGTATCATTAGGCTCTTATTTTTCTCTAATCATCATGAAAAACCATTTAAGCTAAATAACAACTAAATGCAATGCACAGTTCTCAATTTGACTGTGGGTTGAGAGAAAAACAGCTATTTCGGGCAATTTGAATTTATGTGTCAATTTGGCTAGCCCATAGTCCTCAACCATTCAAACACTAATCCTGGAGTTGCTGTGAAGGTATTCTGTAGATGTGATTAACATCTATAATCAATTGACTTTAAATAAAAGAGATTATCCTAGACAATCTGGATGTGCTGGATTCTAGTTGAAAGGCAATAAGAGCACACTGAGGTCTTCCTGGAGAATTTGCCCTGTGGACAGCAACTTCAACCCATGCCCAACCATTCCTGATACAATTATTATCTAATAGCCTTACGATATCAGGAGAATGCCCTTGTTTGTGGGAGATGCATATTAAAATAATAAGAGCGAAGTATCATGAGATCTGTGACTTACTTTCAAATGGTTTGGAAAAGAACTCAAATACATGATATATACTGCAAGAGACGGCAATACTACAAAATGCTAGCAATTGCTGAGTCTGGGTCAGGGTCAGCAAACTATGGCTCATGGCCTGTTTTTCTAAATAAAGTCTGACTGGAACACAGCCACGCCCATGCCTTTATGTACATGGCTGCTTTCGCACTCCAACCACAGAGCTGAGTAGTGGCGACAAAAACCATATGGCCTGCAAACCCTAAGATGTTTACTATCTGGCTCTTTACAGAAAAAGTTCACCAACCCCCAATCTAAGTGAAGGATATATAGGTAAATCACTGCATTATATCCACATTTCTGTAGGTTTGAAATTTTTCAAAATAAAAAGTTGGAGAAAACTAAAGACATCTCCCTCCAACAAAAATATTTCTTAAATCAGGACTTACACTTAACAAGGATCTTGTATTCTAAAGGATTAGTAGGTTGTAGAATTCTATGAATAAATGAAATCCATGATATAAAATATATTAATAATATTTAAGCTTGTCAGAAAAGAAGGAAACCTTAGTCATGGCTTTAATGCTGTTGTGTGTTAGGCTTGCTGGTGCCTTGCTTCATAAAGCCTGACGGCATACCCATGGCCCAACCTAGTGCCTGATGTCTCATTTAATAAATGGGAGCAACACTGCAATGCATATAACAAAAGGACAATTTTTCAAAGCTTTTTCAGAAATTTACAAAACAATATTTAAATTTAAGTCTACTCAATAAGCCATGTAAATTTTAAATACCATAAAGCCTTACACATTATATTGAGTTGTAAGTATAAAGGAAAGTTTTCTAAAATGTTAGAGACATTTTTACAGGATAATGAAAAGGAAAGGACAAAGATATCGTGAAGACAAATGCTTAAATTGGACTGACGTCCATTTGGTTTTAAAAGAATGAAGCACAGAAATATGAAAATATTAAGTGATAATGAGAATTACAAAGAAATGTGTATAGAAAATCATACTCAATTTAGTAGCAAACAGCTTCTTATTAAACATAAATGGAAACACCGAAACTTGTATAATATTACAATAAAATGTTGGTAATACAAAATTCTTAGAAAATGGGCTGTTTTAGATGTTCGCTTAATAGCTAAGTTTTTGCCCTTCAAGCACAAATAGGTTACATAAATGGAAACACCGAAACTTGTATAATATTACAATAAAATGTTGGTAATACAAAATTCTTAGAGAATGGGCTGTTTTAGATGTTCGCTTAATAGCTAAGTTTTTGCCCTTCAAGCACAAATAGGTTTTGAATGGAATACATAGGAAAACATATTACACAGTCCCATGACTTCTTAAATATATTTTCATCGAACATCTCGATGTTTGAGAACCATAATCATGACTTTAACTGTTGGACTGGAAAAGGAAAAATTTAGGGTGCACTTGGGTGTGGAATGCTATTTCCCTTAAACTCTTGGAGTGGTGAACTTTCTAAGTTCTTGTGTCCATGTTTTATAGTTTTGTTCTGTCTTAATATTTCCTTCTTTGCTATCAGCAGTCACGCCTCCTTGCCTAAGCGAAGTCTAACTGTACCGATTCTTTCCCTACTCCTTTAGTTTGCTACATTTAATCTGCTACTGCCTTGGCAATTTAAGATACTCAGAAATTTTCCTCTGCTTTTATTTCCACATAATGCAAATTTGGTTCACAAGGCTGAAAAAACCACTCTGGCAGCAAAGCTTTGGTTTGTACATGTTGTGACAATTACTTAGACTGGTGCCATTAGCCATATGTGGCTCCTGAGCACTTGAAATTGTGGCTAGTGCAATTGAGAAACTCAATTTTTTATCATATTTAAGTTTAGTTCATGGAAATTCAAATTTAAAATCTAATACTTGATTTAGTCATTGGAAAACAAGTATGTTTGGAACAACATACTTGAACATCAAAATTTACTTTTTCTACTATAAATTTTATGGAATCTGAATACAAATCAAATATTTCTGATAAAAATTTAGCATTCTAATTGAAATATGCTGTAAGTGTATATTGTGAACAGATTTTGAAGACTTAGAGTTTTTCTTTGAAAAAAAGAATGTAAACTATCTCAATACTTTTCTACATGGATTACACATTAGAATGATAACATTTTGAATATACTAAGTTAAATAAAATAGTACTGAAATTAATTTCACCTGCTTCTTTTCACACTTTTAAAATGTGGCTAGTAGAAAATTTAAAATTGCATGTGTAGCTTCTATTTTATTTTTATTAAAAAGCACTGACTTAATTCATCTTCCAAAAAAATTTTCCTGATTCTCACTTGTACTCTGAACAGGGAAGTGCTGGCTGAGTGTTGGGTAGGTATGCAATATCACATTCACACGTGCTAAGGACAGGCACTGAGGCTGTTAAAGTTCAAAATGTTATGGTTGCTGAAGAGCGACCAACTCAGAGTCTTTACCGAGGTCACAGAGACATGACCCTCAAGCTACCTGACCATCAGCTCTTTGGCAGCAAGGACTCATTCTGATGTGGCTCTTTCTCCCCCCTGGGACTCAGCACTGACCTGGGTAGGTACTCAAAGATATTTGTTGAATCCATGTAGAAATGGACTTTATTTTATCAGACATGTGGGAAGACTCCAGAGAAAAAGAGAAAAACTCACTGGTGCTAGCCGCCGTTGGAAAGTTACTCAGAAAAAGGAAACTGTATTACTATTACTGATATTAAGAATGAAATATTCCCATACAAAGCAAGTTAGGAGGGAAATAAGTAAACACTCTCATCCCTGGATGCTCAAGCAATATTGCTGCAGGTTCTAAAACGGCATTTCTAATTAAACTACATACTGGAAAGATGAAACATTTTACTTAGTATTTGAACAGAACCAGTTAGGAAGTTTGGGGAATAAAAATCACACCAGCTGCCATCTGTGACATACCTGTTTCCAGGGGGGGCACACAGCTCTGCGTAGTACTTGATTTTGGGCTCGGTCCCACTGGTCCGCATGGTGGCCACACCTCCATTAGCAAAGGTAAAGGTAATCATTTGGCTGCTTTTACTAGTAGGAAGAACCTATGAATTAATTTACACATGTTATAAATTTAAATAATAGAATACTATTCTGGCCTAATCAATATTTTCCCCTGCAGAAGCAAGAAAATAAATGTAAACAAATTTATTCATAAGAAAAGAACATTTTTGAGGAATCAGATGCACTCCATGTGAATGAAATCTTAAATGATAACAATTTATGAAAATTAAGTAACTTCTTATACTAGCTTTTTACCTTCATAGTTCTATTTAAAGTTACTAAAGTTTTATTAAAAGTAAAACACATTATTTCACAAGGAACTGGTTAAAATAGATTAATAATGTACTGCCAAAAAAAAAAAAAAAAAAAAAAAAAAGGAAACTAGACCGTATCTCACTGTTACAAAGTACAACTTTGCAAAGAAATTCTATAAGGATTTTTTTTCTTTTTTTTTTTTTAAGATAAAGCTTCTGGCAGATGTATTTGTAGTTGATAGCTCTCAAAACTCCACTAAAATTACATAAATATTTTAAAAAGCATAAGCACAAGGGCAAAGAGGAGATAGCAGTTGACGGGGCTGCCAACCAATCGTGGAAGTCAGAAAGCAGATGGAGCAGAACTGGTGTGGTGGGACATGAGAGATGAAAGCTGCGTGCCTGCAGAAGGAGACAGGGACAAGAACCGAGTCAGCGTGCTCTGTGGAATCCTGGCCAGGCTTGAGAACTGGAGGCTCCCGTTACACAAAGGGCAGATGTGAGACAGGTGTGGACAACAGGGGCAGCGTTTAAAAGAAGCTATTAGACCCTCTGGGACCCTCATCCCCCAGCCCACATAGTCAGGGAACCACCTCTTCTCTCTCCTGGAGGAGGTGGTTTAATTCTCTAGGGATTGAACCAGAAGGGCACAGGAGTTGGGCCCCAGGTTCTATGGAGGGCAGGGTATGGTGAAAACAGAAGGATCAAGTGAAAGTGCCCAGGCTGAGACACCCCCAGCTTGCCCCCAGCCATGCTTCCAGGGCCTTGGCATCTCAACTTATAGCCCTCAGGCAAATGATTAGGAGAAGGCATACAGCCCCAGATGGAGATCTCCCAATAAATAGCTGACTTGTTTCCCAATACCCCTAGAGTGAAGTACAGTCATGCACTGCATAAGGACATTTCAATCAATGATGGACCACATATTTGATGGTGGTCCCGTGAGATTATAACGAAGCTGGAAAATTCTTACTGCCTAGTGATACAGCCATCATAATGTCATAGCACAATGCATTACTCATGTATTTGCGGTAATGCTGGTGTAACAAACCTACCGTACTGCCAGGTGGTCCCGTGAGATTATAACGAAGCTGGAAAATTCTTACTGCCTAGTGATACAGCCATCATAATGTCACAGCACAATGCATTACTCATGTATTTGCGGTAATGCTGGTGTAACAAACCTACCGTACTGCCAGTCGTATAACAATGAAGAGACAAGAGAAAAGAAAACTGCAGGAGAAGATAAAGAAGATTCCCCAAGGGCCGAGCCCTTGGCGCAATCGGGAGAGTGCGGCGCTGGGAGCGCAGCGACGCTAGTGCTGGGAGCGCAGCGACGCTCCTGCCACGGGTTCAGATCCTATATAGGAATGGCTGGTGCGCTCACTGGCTGAGTGTGGTGTGGGCGACACCACACCAAGGGTAGCGATCCCCTTACCAGTCACGAAAAAGACAAAAAAAAAAAGAAGATTCCCCAAGAAAATTCACAGTGAAACGTTTAGCAGAAGTTTTTGCCAACCTCAACAAGCTCCTTAAAACATGGATCCCAACACCAAAAGGTTTTCATTAATAGGGAGGAATGTTCACGGTGCATAATCTGCTTACAGGCAAATCTATGATGAAAACAAGAAACAAACTAAGCAAACCACCATGGACATATTTCTGAAAAGAGTGATGCTTCCTCAAGAAGAGCCTCAGGCAGGTCCTGCAGTAGGTGTTCCAGAAGAAGGAATCACTATCATAGGAGATGACAGCTCCATGCGTGTTACTGCCCCTGAAGACCTTCCAGTGGGACAAGTCGTGGAGGGGAAAGACAGTGACATTGATGACCCTGACCCTGAGTAGGCTAGGCTAATGTGTGTTTGTGTCTTCATTTTTAACAAAAAAGTTTAAAAAGTAAAAATATTTTTTAAAAAGTTAATAATAGTAAAAAGCTTATAGAATAAGGACACAAAGAGAGAAAACATTTTTGTACAGCTGTACAATGTGTTTGTGTTTAAAAGGGTCAAAAAGTTAAATTTTTTTTAAAGTTTGTAAAGTAAAAAAGTTACAGTAAGCTAAGGTTAATTTATTATTGAAGAAAAAAATATTTTTCTCTTATAAATTTAGTGTAGCCTAAGTGGACGGTGTTTATAGTCTAGAGTATACATAATGTCCTAGGCCCCTTCACATTCACTCACCACCCACTCACTGACTCACCCAGGGCAACTTCCAGTCCTACAAACTCCACTCATGGTAAGTGCCCTATACGGGTATACCATTTTTTTTCTTTTATACCATATTTTTACTGTACCTTTTCTATGTTTAGATATACAAATACGTAAGTACCATTGTGTTACAACTGCCTACAGTATTCAGTACAGTAACATGCTGTACAGGTTTTTAGCCTAGAAGCAACAGGCTATACCACATAGCCTAGGTGCATAGTAGGCTATACCATCTAGCTTTGTGTACATATACTCTATGAAGTTTACACAATGACAAAATCCCCTAACAATGCATTTCTCAGAACGTAACCCCATTGTTAAGCAACAAATGACTGTATATCATCTGACTTGCACATGTACATAGAGTTTCTAATCAGCTTTTAAGTGCCCAAAGGAAACTCAGGATCACCAGGGGCTGCCCAGTTGGCTCAGTTGGTTAGAGCACAGCCTTATAACCCCAAGGTCATGGGTTTAGATCCCCATAGCAGCTGGCTACTGAAAAAAAAATTTTTTTTTAATTTTAAAAAAAGGATCACCAGACTTCTGGGGAAATATATCAGATAAAAAAACAAAGTCCAAAACAAATAGAAAAAAAAAAAAAAAAAAAAAAAACTTGGAGGAAATAAAAACAATTTGGGGGAAAAAGAAGATGTACATTTTTAAACGGCTATAATTAATATCCTTAGAGATAAGATTGTTGTATATGTAAAACAAAAAAAAAGAATAGGATACTATTTTTAATAAATTAATGAGTAAAAGCTGAAACAGTCAACAAAAGCACTAAAAGTTAAAGTTGAGGAAATCTCCCAAAAAGTAGAACAAGAAGATAGAAATGAACAACAGGGAGGAAAGAATCAAGAGAAGCAGAGCTGCTGCCCCGAGAGCCGGCACCCAACTCAGAGCTCTCAGAGCAAGAGAACAGAAAACACAGGGTGGAGGTTATGTAAAAAACAACCAGCCAGCCCCCTTCCTTCACACACAGTCAAGAAAACTTCTCAGAACTAAAGAATGACTGCACAGACCAAGTACTGAGAAAAACAAATTTTAAAAGAACCATACTGAAGCACATCAGTGTGAAATTTTAGAACCTGAAGTTTACAGAAGAGTTCCTAAATTCTTCCCAGAGAGAAGAAACAAATGGCCCAGAAAGGACAGAATACATATAGCGTCAATATCCCTCCCTGTACACAGCACACGGGAGGCCTCAGCTACCTGGGTGAATGAATGAACGGTTGGATGGACGTTCAACAGCAACACTGGAAGCCACACAGTGACAGAGCAGAGCTTTCAGAGCTGGGAGTCAACAGAGCGTGAGCAGAGAATGAGACACGCTCAGACTTCAGGGCCTCTGAAAAGCTACCTCCATTTACTTTTTCTCAGAAAGCTACTAGAGGATGTGATCCAGGAAAATAAACATAGAAAGAGGAAGCCATGAGGTCTAGAAGGAAGAGACTCAACCCTGGAGAGCGGCAAAGGGTATTCCCAGGATGACAGCTATGTCCCCAACCCAGAGAGTGGCTGGCCCCACCTGGACCAAGGGACCCGGAGGGAGGCCACTGGAAACAACATGGAACCTACAGAACAGCTGAAGCACTGGACCACGGGGAAAACCCTGCTGACAGGTCTGTAAAGGATCAGGGAAGAACTAGTGACCGTTACATAGACATCCAGGCAAATGAAAGAATAAAGCAACTATTAATTACAGGAAATATAATTCTTTATACAAACTAGGGAAACCTACTCAAAATACACTACTCAGCCAAGCAGCCCACAGTAGTTACTACTCACGATAATAAAAGAATCCAATTTAACCAAAAGTTGAGGTATCAATGTACTGAGGCCAGAAGAGAAGGGGAAATTTTGAATGTAAGAAGTATAAGGACTAAATCTTTATCTCCAAAATAGAAAATTAATAAAGTATAAGACTGATAAGTCAAAACATCATCAGAGGAGCATATTATTTAGGAACCTGGTGGTAAACACCTGGGAGGAAGGGGTTGTCTTGTTGGGATGGCAATGAGGTGGTAGGGGGTGGGACCATCATGTTTCATCATAACCCTTTTAATACTAATGATCTCTCAAAAATATATTGTGTGCAGATGAAAATTTAAAATATAAAAAGCTAAGTATCAAAGAACATGTCTAATATTTCATAAGGATATGCTTCCTCTCCCTCCCCTAACCCCCTGCCACAGTTATCAATACTCTCCTTCCACCTCTGGGTCATCTTTGGATGCCTGTAGGGGATCCACATGGTGTGAAGAATACCAAATCTTGGGCTGGCCCTGTGGCTCACTCGGGAGAGTGTGCTGCTGGTAGCACCGAGGCCACGGGTTCGGATCCTATATAGGGATGGCCAGTGCACTCACACCATGCCGAGGGTTGCGATCCCCTTACCAGTTTAAAAAAAAAAAAAAAAAAAAAAAAATACCAACTCATGCTTTACAGCTTACATCTCCCATACATTCAGAGAAGAGGTGAAACCAACTGGAAAGTAAACAGTGGTTCTCAAAGTGTGGACCAGTCACATCAGCATCACCTGGGAACTTGTTAGAGATGAAAATTCTGGGCCCTCACCCCAGACCTACCCAATCAGAAACTCCAGGCTGAGCTGCAGCATTCTGTTTTAACTTGCCCTCTAGGTGACTCTGACTCTCCTTTAAGTGTAAGAAGTGCTTATTGGGAGGACCATCTGGGTTCAGAATCAGAAGACCCAGATTCTTCCCAGACCATCACCAACCAGCGGTGTGACCGCAGACAGGTTCTGCACTTCTGAGTATGGATTTCTGAATATGTTAAATGACAGTGTTGGCTCAGTGAGATCCCTTTTAGTTCTAGCCCATCATTTTTAACTTTCCTTATATTTTTATAGCTCCTTTATAATAATGCATTTATGCCTAAAATCAGCCTTAACTAATGATATGATTAAATAAGATAATCTATTCAAATTATTAAAAAAGGTAAATAGAAAAAGAGTTTAGTGGATACAAGTAAACATTACTTACAGCTTTTTTGTCAGATTGGCTATCATCGTAGCCAGTTGTCAGGTCCCTAATGGCAGAAATTTTAAATTTGCCACAGGTTTTTGGATAATTATTCTTTCCATCGTAATTTCTGAGGTTTTCAAATAATTTTTTAATGGTGCCTTGATCGTAGCAGATAAAATAAGAAGCTTTGGTAATATGGTAGCCATACCTATTGAAACAAATACAAATTCATACAAAATGAGCAAATAATTCTGCAGAGTGTACATAGGACATGTATGAACCAACATATTCTAAAATAAACAAAACAAATAATCATAGCTAACTTCAAAGGAATAATTTAACGTTAAAAAAGAGATCCAATGATCTACCCCAGGGATTGCCAAACGACTGCCTCGCCTTCTACCTATACTTGTAAATTACAGTTTTTATTGGAATAAACCACATCACACCCATTACTTTGTGTATTGTGTCTGGCTGCTTTTGCACTACACAGGCAGAGTTAAGTACATGTTACAAAGACTGAATAGATGTATTATGAACCAATTTAATCTTTTTTGACATTGGACACTTAAAAGCATATTCTTCCATTAGCCATTTCTAAGAATTCACGCATGGTGAATGGTAATTACTAATACATGGTTAAGTATCAAAAGGAAAAGGTCATCTTTTATTTAGTTTTCATAAGGAACAGAATTCATCACTAAAGAAAGAACATTAGAGAGAATATTAGTATCTCATGCACAAGAACATAATAAAACATTTAAAAATATTACTCCAATCAGAGTCAACAGGAACTTACTCCACATAGATGGCCTTTAGCTGCTGAGACAAAGACAAATTCTTGGTTGCTAGAAAGCTAGCCAACTCTGCACTTATGACAGCAGCACTGACTCCATCTTTGTCCAGAACAAAAGGGCAGCACATATATCCTGCGGAAACACATGTCATGCATACACCTTTTAGGAGTGGGGTCCTGCATAACACTGTGTCAAGCCACACCTGTGTATGTGCCCTGGCTATCGTATATCAGAGGCCATACAGTGTTCAGTGTGTGCATGTTTCTCATTTACCACCATGTTTAAGAATCTAGCCCAGTGTCTAGCACATAGCAGGACTTCAGGGAGATTTTCCCTCCTGGCCAAATGATGCTCATTCACTAGATTTGTTGAAAGTGTCTCCAGCTCACATAAAATTGTTTCCAACTGTTTAGTCAATATGCATCTCTTTCTTCTCTGGATCCCAATAGTTCTTGTTAGTTTCATGATTCATCTTGACACCTGGCCTACCCTCTTTTGTGTGGTTACTTAACTAGATCTATAGAAGCTGCTGTAGGCTAATGTCAGTGTCATCCATTTCTTTCAGAGTCACTGAGTAATAGATATGCAATTGGTATCTGATAAGCAGGGCTAGCTGGTTAGCTCAGTTAGTTAGAGCATGGTATTATAACACCAAGGTCAAGGGTTCAGATCCCCATACTGGCCAGCTGCCAAAAAAAAAAAGAAACTGTCAATTAATATCGGATAAACAAATGTATGAAAGCCTTTTTTATTTTTTTAATTAAAAAGCTTTGAAAAGACAAGGCTGACAAATCTGAAAACAAAAGAGCAAAAGCTGAGCTTTATACTTCAATTAGTTAAACAAATCACGTGGTGTCTGCGCTGCAGATGAATATAAATAAATTTAACACACAATAGTTTTTATTAACAGCTAAAACATTTCTGGCACAAGTGTGAATCTCAAATTTCTATAGCTAGTTCTCCTTTCTGCTCATTTATATTCACAAACAGTTTAGGACAAGGGTTTCTCTGTCATTCTGCTGGACTTGGGTGGTCTTTGCAGGTAAGCATCACTTTGATGAGAGTGCCACAATCGTGTTCCCTTCTGTCTTCTGGATAAACCTCAACATAGATCCTCATTAGAGCTTTTGGAGAGGAGTGAGCTACATTAGGACTGGATATTAAACACCACAATTGAAGAAACATTACAATTCTCCAAATATGTGGATTGTCAAGCTATTAGCAGCCAAGTACAGAATATCACTGTTTTCAGAAAAGGATCCTTACATTAATGGCTTGGTTATTTGTAAGATATTCCTTTTTGCTGAAAAATATCTGAGATGCCAATTTTGGAGTAGGACAGTTCAATACTCATCCCCAGTGCTAGAGAAGCTAAGGGAACTGTATGCTCCTGTTTCACTGTTGATCTTTTAAAACCAAATCCAAACCTTTTTTTCATTTATTTATGTTCTATATATTAACCAATTCTGCAATCCTCATGATCACTTCTTACCAATAGCTTCTTCAAATGCAAATAAGACAGTTTTCCCCTGGTCTATTAGCTGTTTGGCTCTGTTTCCCATCCACTTAAAGCCAGTTAGTGTTTCCTAAGGGATAATTCAAAAGAGACAGAAAAGCCTTAGATCTTCTACAGAGCAAAAGAAAGGAAAACGAGCAAGTCCCACACACACCTTACCTCAAAGTGAAAACCCTCCTTTAACGCAATGGCCCGCAAGATTTTGGACGAGACTGTGCTGGACATCATGTAGGTGTCTTTGAGGGCACTGCGATCTTGGTTCTTCTCTTTCCAAGAAGTAAAGAGCCACCAGCCCAGGAGGGCCCCCAACTCATTGCCTGAAAATACTCTCCATTCACCACTGAAAGAAAAAAAAATTATTCATTTCAGTGACCTTAAGCAGGATACAAGAAGTCACTGGGACAGAACAACTAAGCAAACAAGGCTCAAAGTCATCTCTGCAAGGCTGTTCTTGCTATGCACCACCTTTAAGTAACTGGTCAGAAACATAACTGTCACTTCACAGACATTGCAGCAGCTGCCACATATCCTCCAGTTTGCCTGGACAAACTTATAAAAAAATAAGTACATCAATGATGACACATAAGGCTTTTATTTTAATCTTTGGCAAAGGCTTTGGTTTTAAACAAAACAAATATGCTGGCAAGATCCCCTCAAGTATAAAATAAATTAATGTTTCTCAACTTTTTGTCTGGTTAGTATTGATGACTCTGAGAGAGTGACAGCTAAGTATTCCTTAAGATCAAGCTTGGTCCTAAAACAGAACACCAGAGAACTGACATGCGATTTACACTCCCCTCTGTAGTCCAGGTGGATGGAAGTAAGTCTTGCACTTCAGCACACATCATGCTAGCTTGACTTTCTAAACACTGATATAGGGGCCGGCCCGGTGGCGCACTGGATAGTGCGCCGCTTGGGAAGCGCGGTGGCGCTCCGTCCTAGGGTTCGGATCCCACATGGAGACCGGTTCCCGCTCACTGGCTGAGCGAGGCGCGTGAGCAACACCGAGGCTTGCGATCCCGTTGCCGGTCCCCGGTCCGGTACGGGGGCAACACTGAGGGTTGCGATCCGTTGCCGGACACGGAAAAAAGACAAAAGACAAAAAATAAATAAATAAATAAATAAACACTGATATAGAACTGAATCCGTCTTATCATCATCGAAACCCCTAACCCTTCAGCAGCACCCCACTGCCCCCAAAACATAACATATGCTATTTGACACCCAAATTTGCTTGAATCCTGCCTATCTTTCAACTTCCCCTCCTGCTTACTTACTTCTCCTTTGTACAAACTCTATGGTCAAACTTCTCTTAAACATTGTGTTAATACTCCACAGGTATTCCTCTCAGGTCTGTCCAACTTAAATTCAACCTACATTCCTCGAAGGTCCAGCTTCTTGCCAAACCCATCAGAAAATACTGAACTGCATGGGCCGGCCCGGTGGCGCACTGGATAGTGCGCCGCTTGGGAAGCGCGGCTGGGCTCCCATCCGAGGGTTCGGATCCCACGTACAGACCGGTTCCCGGAGCAATGCCGAGGGTTGCGATCCTGTTGCCAGTCCCCGGTC